TTTTCTTATAGAATAATTATAAAAATAATATATCGTTTATATATCATCTGAGTGTATTTATATCATAAGATTGGCAGATGTTGGAATCTTTTTGTAAGGTAAATAGTTTTAAAGTTGTAATTCCATATAGGTGTGTGTCGTCTTAAAATTAAACACCGATATTAAAATTCCGTTAGAAAATGGCAGCTTATACGCGTGGGGATCCTTTATTTTGTTGTCTTTTGTTGATATTCGATGATTAGGTATTCGTACATGGACTATAGGTGAAAACATTGGATAAGTATTTCATGTTTTACAAAGTAATAGTGAACGCTTTAAACATTTATGAATATATACATACATAAAATCTCTATTACATTACGTGTTTCATATTTTGTCTTTCTAAACCAGAGTTAGAAATAGTTTCCCGTGGAGGGACCCCGTCTTAAATAAAGAGCCAATTATGAATAATTCAATTTTATCAGTATTAAAAATGTTTGTTACTCCCCCTTTGAAAAGAGAGATTGAATTAATGAGGTTTCACTCGATTTCTATGTGGTTAGGGAGATCAAATTATCTTAATTGTAATTTACAACCCAATCACAAGTCTTCCCCCAGACAATAATTGGTTTGTTTTAAATACGAAATTAGATATATAAGTCCCCTCTCTACAGCAAACACAAATGCAAAATGAGAAAAAATTTCACAGAATTGAACCGATAGTAAACAAAAGTCTTTTAATTACAGGGGATTTTAAAATTAAAATAAACACACAATAGGAGATGCCAGAAAGGACATTTTGTATTTGCATGCAGTGAGTTTCTGGTAAAATCAACATCAAAAAGCCTTTATTAAGGACACTCGTCCCATACCGGATTCTCTCAGATTTATAAACAGAAGTAAACATAGAAGTTATCTACAGAAAATGAAGAGTAAGATCGACCTTTCTTCAAGTTGAATACATCATCTCTGATGCGCCTATTGTCTTTGATTTTTCCAGAATTTGTGAAAAGCTAATGCATTGGGTTTGCCTTTTACTAATTTTGCCATTAAAATATATATATAAGCTTATGTCCATAGCTTTCTTGAAAACCATTTCTGAGATTCCACCCCTCAGTGCTGGGTATATAAGCAGAATCGTCCAATACAGTATTAGAGCTCTGAGAAGCGGTCTGGTGGATTAAATTGGCGGAACCGCTGGGAGGGTTCACCACTGATGAGCCAAGCCCTGCCAATTATATATTTTTTCATCGCAGTAAGGATAGTAGAAGTTTGTATTATGTATAAAAGAAACACTCGTGCTTTTAAATCCTTTCATTAAAATATATGGCGACTTGTTTTCTTAACCAATCATTTGACGGAGAATTTCTCTCTCCTCCTCCAGTGCAAGAATAAAAAACAGTTATTGCAAAAAATATATTTACAAGATGTTTTTATACACGATTATTATCAACATAATTACTAACATCTTTCTTGCAAATCGTAATTTTATAGAATAGGAGATGTGTGAATCCTAACTACGACAGAATCTATCTGTTCGGCCTAGCTACAGTTATTTCAGAAAAATGACGTCATACTTCACATTGTTTTATATTTCAAACATTAATTATCTTTTCAATAGTCGTGGAGCGGCGACAACAAAGGAGAAAGAAAATCCGTTTTTTTTATTCCGACGTAAAAACCAACCAACGGCCGATAGACAAAAACAAAGTAAACTGAATATGGATAATTGGCGTGAAGAGTTGCGACAAAAGAACCTGAGCCTGCAAGTTAAATTAATCTTAATTTTCTCTCTTTATTTTTATGTCAAAGCCTAAAACCACCGCTTAATTATTTGTTTAATTACTTGTAATAGATTTTTTAATTATTGGCCTTAACAATCTTCTATTATCTTTCGAGGTCTTTAATTAGTCTGTTTGTTTTTGAAGTGCTTTTCAAGGAGGTTTTTTTATTCAGTTGTTTTGTTTCTTTCTTCGAATTTCTTCCAGTGGTGTTCTGCTTGGGTAGTGTTTCTATGAACAGAGCAATTCTATGATAAGGACAATTTGGATTATAGATTATAAACACAAGGTAATAAGACCAAATCCAAATAAACAAATAGTGTGTGACGTTTCGGTAACAGCGTTGTTACCATCTTTCAGTACTTTTGTCTGAAGATAGTAACAGCGTTGTTACCGAAACGTCACACACTATTTATTTATTTGGATTTGATCTTATTACCTTGTGTTTAGAGCAGTTCTATGTAACCTTGGGGAAGACGTGTGTATTTCTATGTAATACAAAACATCATACACATTACAAAGAAGTAAAGGATTGTATGACACTTGGGAAAATATCAGTACATTCAACCCTTTTCGAATTGCAGCTAGGTTCAGACACACACTAATAGATCTGTGTTCTCTTCTAATATAGTTCTATAGTATACACCAACAGCGTTTTTAATTAGAGAAAAAATAAAACAATTATATATCATTTATATATACATATATATATTTCTTCAACTTAAAGATACTTCGGCCAGTAAATCTTTTTTATTGTCTCGACGTTTCGACAAAAATCTTTTGACCTCGTTTGGCAAAGCGTTAAAAATAAAAGAGAAATTTTAAAAAGAGAATAATTTTTAACGCTTTGCCAAATGTTTAAATTTTGTTTGCTCCTGACGAGGGCAAAATATTTTTGTCGAAACGTCGAGACAATAAAAAATATTTACTGGCCGAAGTATCTTTAATTTGAAGAACTATGAATGCCAGCCAGGCAGCCTCTATCTTTACGACATATATATATTTAACAATTTTATATAATGTGAAAAATAGTACAAATGTGAAATTAGGCTGGGATAAGGTGGATAAATTAAGCAAAAGGCATCTCCTTATCGTGCACCTAAAAGTTGCTGATGGCTTGCGCCATCAGTCGGAATAAATATGCACTGGTTAGCTTTTCTTGATTAATCAAGAATGGGTATTTGGCCAATTCTGTAATAATTAAAAGTCAACGAATAGTTAATATTTATTCCGACAGGTGGTGTGAACCATTAGCAACTTTCAGTTGCTCGAAAAGGAGATACTTTTTTAAAATTATGTATTTGTATATGTAATTGTTAATGGATTTCATATTTATTTGTTAGTTATTTCTTTAATTAATTAAATTGCTTTATATATTACATTGTGTAATATACCTTATAATATAATATTATAATCTACTCTGTTTAATTAATTTATTTTTGATTCTTTGGATTTGGCAGCACTGTAATTATTGTTGCTGTTATGTATCTATTAAAAAGTGTATGTTTGACATTAGAAAGATATATAATTAAAATTTGTTTATTAATTTAATAAAGCATATTTATTTATTTAATCGAAGAGAGAGAGAGGAACATCACACATTGGTTTTCTTTGTTTATATTTAATTTTATTTAGAATGTATATATTAGATGGTTTATCGCCCAAAAGCTTGTAAGACGTCCGTGACTCACCTGAAACATGCGACCTGCTGTGTGCTTCATAACAAAATCCCTCGTAAAAGAAGGACGATTGGTCCATCGAAATATTGGATTAATAAAAACTTTTTGAATCCAAAATAAGCTTTATTTTAAATATATATATATATAAAATATATACAATGTCGTCATTGGTAGTGCCCACCGCAGGAAAGACTCCGTCACCGGTGGACTGCGAGAGTTCTTGGGAGAGAGAAAGATAAACAAACGCTATCTACAATAGAAGGCGCTGAAGTCACGTGTAAGGTGAAATTTCACTTCGCCGGAGCCATCGCAGAATATTCTGTGACGCTATCTGCTACTATAAAAGTTTTCTAAAACCATTTTGGCTTTAATTTATTGAATTTGTTGAAACACCAGAGCATCTTTTGTTGGCTTACCCTCTGACTAACCATATTGTACTTGCGCACTTTGACATAATGCCAAATCATCTTTCTGTATATACTCAATCTTATGAAAACTTTGGCAAGTTTAGAGCTATTTGTACACAGATATATAAATCACTACTAATTCATCGTGTAAATGATTAAATATATATATGTAAATTAATTCTAATATAGCACAATAGTCTGATAGACTTCGTGCTTCTGTAATTATAAAATAAAACGCCTTGTATAATGTAGGCAATTATAACGATCCAAAATTCTTTTACATAGGAGATACAAAAAAGCTGCTTAAATATCGAATTATTAAAATAAATCCCCCAAATTAACGGAATTTACCAATAAAGGAATAGCTACGAAGTCTGTAGAAGAAATTGGTAAAATGTAGGTTATTAATCTTCCATAAAACTATTGGCCAGCAGCCGACTCAAGTTACGTTTACTTAGCCTGCCACCTGTCGATCGATTTTGGAATTAATTTACAAATAATGAAAAACTCGCTCTGAGAGAAACTATAAAATTTCACTAAAAGATTAATCTCGTATTTCTGTAGGATAAAATATATCTTAAACTCTAATTACTAAAAAAATTGAAACAAATAAAGAAGATAATGGTTATTTTAAAAATGCATTTAGCAGTTTATTTATACTTTGTATTGCCTTATAAAATGGCTGTGAGTTAATTATTTAAGGTTTAATTGAAAGTGATTTGTTTTTAAAGTTTTTTTCTTTACGTAAACAAAGCGGGCGAGGGTACTTGTTTATTCAGGCAATAATCGGTTTAACTTTTGCCCGGATCTAAGTGGTTGAAAATCCTGTTGGTGAACAAAATATAAAATAATACAAATAAATACAAATAATATACATAAATTAATACAAAGCAATAACGCGCCAACTATATATAACGAATGAAGACATTAAGACGAGAATGTTTCTTTCACAAACAAATCAAACTTCTACTATCCTTACTGCGATGAAAATAATATTGGCAAGGCTTGGCTCATCGATGGTGAACCCTCCCAGCGGTTTCGCCAATTTTTTTTTTTAATCTACCATACCGCTTCTTTAGAGCTCTAATACTGTATTGAATCATTTTGCTTTTATACATTTCGATTAATACGATATTTACGAACGGAAAAATAGGTCCAGGGTAGCCTAGTGGACATGCCATCTGCCCGGTAAGCGGAACACTGTGGGTTCGATTCCCATCCCTGGACACTTTTATTTTTCCGTTTATCATTACTCTTCACAATTCATCCTTTCATACTTCATTCATAAGGTTAGAAATAATCGTTATTTCTCCTTAAAATAAATTTAGATTTTTCTTTTAAAATAAACACATGCGGGATAATTTTCAAATGTCGTTTTACAAAAAAGTTGTTGTTGGGAACTGAATGCTACGACCTCTACTAGCACTACCCTGAACTATCATCAATACACACTGTTTACCTTTCTCGCCTATGTTTACTCTCTGAATGTTATTCGCTTTTAACTTTCCAGTTTTAAATAGATCATAAAGGTTATTATCAAATAACCATCAAGGGCCTCATGCCTTCCTACATACTATGTTTTTTTAAATTATTATCCCTAGTACACTAATACAGGCCATGATAATCATGGTGGGTAGAAGTTGGCCACTGCTTTTACTGTAAGTGCACCACATGTCTACACATGTGAAAAGCAGTTCGACTTTGCACTTACAAATGTGCCAGAGCCCCTTTTGGTTACTTTCACTCGCTGATGGGGTTGGACTTTTGCAATAATCGGGGCCATTGAACAATTATTTTAATTAGAAAAAAAGTGCCAAATTCCAAGATTCGATCACGGGTCGTAGCGGGCGAAAACTAATGGTTTAGACCATCCTTCCACAGACCCCCTTCTACATACTGTAAGTACCTGAACCTTACAACAGTAGTAAACGATTAAATTATATCTTCTGTCACTGAAGTTTAATGCTTCAATGTTTAGCAGACAAATGTCATTTGAAAAATCTTTCCTGAATATATTTAGTTTTTTTTTTTTCAAGTTAACGTGGCCTTGGTGAAGGGTAGTGATTGTTACTGCAGTTACTGTAAGTGTGACACAACATTTCTACACATGTACTACCAGGCTATGATGGTGAGTAGATATTGTAGCTACTTTTATTGTGTATGACATCATATATATCTATACTTGTAGTACCAGCCCATAGTTGGAAATGTTATGACTACTTTTATTGCAAAGGTGACATCTTATGTTTGTTTGAGCGATTCCATAATTCCTCTCATAGGTTGTTACGAAATCGAAGCAGCCCATGTACTCCTGAAGGTCATAGTATGACAATAAACAGGTTGGAATTTGTCTGAATTTGCTGAAGCTGTTGTTGTACCGCATATTCTCTCACCTGAGCCTGTGTCTGCTGCACAGAGATGACAGATAGACACGTGGCAAACATAAGTATCCGCTCACTTCTTTCTTTAAATAGGAATCAGTCTGAATATGATCCGACTTAGATAAAACCTACCATTCTGTTTTAGGTTCTCGCCGATGGTTTCTTGATTTAAAGATTTCCAGCTTACAATAAAGAAGCAAATCTCCTTTATTATCTGTTGAGAAGTTTGGATTCCTATTTAAATACAATGTTTTGATGAATTTTTAAAGGAGATAGAGAGCGTTCTGTATATTATATATCTTTCTCTTTCAATATAAATACCAATACCTTCAAAATATATTATTACATATTAATATGATTCATTAGTGCGTCATCTGTTATAAGAAATTCAAAATATTTTTGACGCGCTTGTTTCTTTGTGAATTAAAACAATTTCTTAACGTCCTTATTGTAATGATAAATTAATGGCCTGACTCATCGTAATTAAAACTACTGCCCTTACTGCTTTGATAAAATAATTGGAGGGCCTGTTCTTACTGCAATGATAAAAATAATGATGAGCTAGGTCCTCCCTTTATTTTATCATTTCAGTAAGGGCATTATAAAATTGTTTTAATTAAAAAAAGAATAATACACGCGTTTGAAAATAGATCAAATTTCTTATAATATGAATATATATACAGATTGTAACTATAAACAGAATATATAGTAACAAATGAAAATATCAAGGCGCGAATGTTTCTTTTCACAAATAAATCAAACTTCTACAGTCCTTACTGCAATGAAAAAATATTGGGAGGGCTTAGCTTATCAGTGGTGAACCCTCCCAGTGATTTCGCCAATTTAATCTACCAGACTACTTCTTAGAACTCTAATGCTGTATTGGATCATTCTGCTTATATATGCTAAACTGAAAAGTAGAATCTTAGAAATGACATTTAAGCAAACTATGGACATATGCTTTTAGGACAGTAGAATTTCATTTAAATGTTTGAATAGAGCAAGGCTCTTCCGCAAACAATAAGGACAAGGCCAGTTACGCATAAATTAATTCCCAAACAATAACGCGCAATATATATAAACAAAGAAAATAAAAACACGCGATTGTTTTCTTTCACAAATATATCAAATACTGTCCTTACTTCGATGAAAAAAACATTTTAATATTAGACTATATATAGACATCGATATTTTTATTCAGCAAGGGAATTTAGAGAAGGTAGTTGAGACCGACACGATGACATGACCGCCAGAGTTCTATGTAATTCACCTGGTACCAGTAGATATGTGGAGTTTAGCGACGGAGACCCGTCCAGTTGGGACAATTTGAGAACAGCAAAGAATATAAAATGTTGTCACATGAGACACAAGGTTTTAATTTAGAATGTCGCGAAACATTTAATTAAAATTCTTTTTGTTTGCAGTCGGAGGTAAAAAACTAATGTTCTTCTCCACCGCAGTTAGAGCTGTTACTACACTGTACACTACGCTGTACACCACCGTTTGTGGAAAAAAGAGTATGATGTGGTGTCTATATCATCATGTGTAATTGTGAAGTCTCCAGTACTGTGTGTGGTATTGTAGTGTTTTAAGTAGGTAAGTGGTATTGTGTGTCTGCAATACTATATGGTATTGAGGTATCTGGAGTAACATGTAGTATTGTAGTGTCTACAAAATTAAGTAGAATTGCGATATATTCAGTACCATGTGGTATTGTGATGTCTCCTGTGCAATATTGTGTCTTATTGTGGTATTTTCAGTAGGTGAGTGGTATTATGTTGTCTGCAGCTCCATGTGGTGTTGTGTTGTCTGAAGTACCGTGTGGTATTGTGGTATGTGAAACAGCGGAGGTATTGTAGTGTCTGAAGCAGTACTAAGTGGTATTGTGGTATGTGAAACACCAAGCGGAGGTATTGTAGTGTCTGAAGCAGTACTAAGTGGCATTGTGGTATGTGAAACACCAAGCGGAGGTATTATGATGTTTGCAGCACTAAGTGGTATTTCAATATGTGAAACACCAAGCGGAGGTATTGTGGTGTCTGAAGCAGCACTAAGTGGTATTTTAGTATGTGAAACACCAAGCGGAGGTATTATGATGTTTGCAGCACTAAGTGGTATTTCAGTATGTAAAACACCAAGCGGAGGTATTGTGGTGTCTGAAGCAACACCTAAGTGGTATTATTATGTCTGCAGTACTAAGTGGTATTGTGGTATGTGAAACACCACCAAGCGGAGGTATTGTGATATGTGTACCGCACTATGTGGTTTATTCAGCAAAGAGTAGCATTGCGATGTCTGCGGCACGGTGGGATGTATTGCGGGGTCCTCAGTGACAAATGACGATATTGTGGCGACAGTTTGTGTATAATAAATACATCAGTGAACGGGATAGCTGCTATAACTCTATAGGGTTTGGACCATGTCTCAAACTGTTATTTCTTATTCTTCATCCCTTGAAAGCTGCAGGTTTCAGCCCAATAACTTTCTGAACAAATGATTTTCTGACATTAAAATACGTACAAATTTAAAATAGGAACCTAAACAATTTTTGTGTGTGATTGAAAAATATACTGTATTGACGTTCCAATAAAACAATCTAAAGAAACTTTCCAACTTCAAGTAAGAACTGGTGTAATCAAAGATATCACTTTTCATCGAAACAAAATAAAATCCAGGACTCAAAAATGAAATCTATAAAGAGAAAAGGGATATTTTCCCGAAGTCCGTGTAAATAGGGATTAGGGCGGGTGGAAGCTTTAGGCCGCTAGGCTGGGGTTTAGCCGGCTTTATCGGGAATAAATATTTTTAAAGATTTCGACTCTCAATGTTTATTTAGGCTGATATTTTGTCTCCAGAATATCTGAGTTTTTGAATTTATTCTGTTTTGAAACAAATGGCGCACTTCTAAATATTTCCACGACTCTTGAACAGTCAATGTGGTGAGAAGGGAGAGAGACACTCTCGTACACTTCGACACCTCTTTATTAACTCATTCTATGAGGTACACACATCAGTTGTCTTTCGAACGTTCTGATTCATTTGTTTCAAAGCTGTTTAGTTGATGAAATACGTGTACTTTAATCGATATATATTGTTTCACTGTCCTGGGCGGTTAATTTCATATCAATATTCCATTTGTCCATATCAAGGTTATAAGTGAGACCAGAACGAGTAATCATAAAAAAATTCTATCCAACAAGAAAAGTATTTACAAATTTCGACAAAAACTTAAAATAGACAAAGGAGAGATATATAAACAAACTATTTACCACAGATACTTCTGTGACATTATATTTTACTTTTTTTAGCTCTTTTGCAATATCGAAAGACTTCCAAAACCTTGGGGCCCTACAATGAGCGCCTATATCTGTGACTAATATAGATGTGGCCCAGCAATGGATGTGCCTAAATATATAAATAGGATAGAACTGACTCAACAATGGAGTGTGCCTATATATTTAAAAGGGATAGAAGTGGCTCAACAATGATGGCCTATATATGTAAATAGGATAGAAGTGCTCAACAATGGATGTGCCTATATATGTAAATAGGATAGATTTGGCCCAACAATGGAAGTGCCTATATATGTAAATAGGATAGATGTGACCCAACAATGGATGTGCCTATATATGTAAATAGGATAGATGTGGCCCAACAATGGATGTGTGAATAATTTCAAATAGGATAGATGTGGCCCCAGTATTGCTTATATAAAGAACTAGAGCAGTGGAATTATGAAAAACGTTAATGGAATTGAAAATAATTTATTTAAAGTTACTCTCTATTGTGATATATTTGAAGACTGATGTAGTAGTAGTTAAAATGAAAAGTTTGGTTTATTCAGCG